TGTAAGAATGTAAGAAGAAATTTTTTAATTTATCAAGAATCTTGTTCCTAACGATTTAAAGTGCTAACACTATTCTCTCTCCATACGATTACTTTCCTATGAATAAAGAGATAGGAATTTTTCTCTCGATCGTACGAAACGATTTTGCATGTCGCTCGTGATAAGATAAGATCGAGAATGATTCTCCGTGTTATCGTCGCGAAATTAATTCGACGAGTTAAGAAGATTCACAAATCGAACGTCAGAAGCCCGACGTGACGTTTAATTTATCGTTCGTTACCAACGAACAAAGTCCTTCCTAGGTAAAAACATACTATTCTTACCTCTCTTACCTTTATCATAATAAAAAAACATTTACCAAATCGTGTCGTATATCATGTTTCTTATATACCATCTTAAAATCGTTAATTTGAAACATCTGCATTGCAAATTTGTGTTCAATATTCCGAAGAATGTGCCTTAAGAAATACGTTCAAATGTCATTTTGACAATACATTCGGTATCCTTGCTATCGCTGTTTTTATCCTCTGTGTGGATACAGTGTAATCGATTGATCATTTTCAATGCCAAACTTTCGACTGTCGTTCGTGTCAATCATATAAAAGTCACTTGGAATGTTATCGTAAAAAATGCAAATTTTAAAGTCCTCTTTCCCGTAGAATTTTCATTTTTTTATATTTCTGCGATTCAGTATACGTGCTTGATCGTATCGAATCTACTGTTCTCCGAATTACGAAACTGACAAATTTACCCATTTTCACTGTCGATCTGCCGAAGCAAACGGTACGATTTAAGAAAAATTCGAACGATCCTATGTGCTATGAAAATGTGCTTTGATTACCGACGAATTCGATGACAATCATGCTTCATCCGTATGTGCGCAGAATGTGGGTGGTGGAATGAGGGCCGATCAATATCTAGAATATGTTCAAGTGCGCGTCGATCAATTCTTTCGAAAGCCGCATGTATTAACTGCGAATGGTTGCTCGTCTTTGTGAAATGCGGCTTTTCTTCTCGTTCCTCGTGGTGAAAAAGAGAAGGAAACCTATTTCTCTCTTCTTTTGAAAATCAATACCCTTACCTTTTACCTTGAATCGAACCTATAAACATTTCATACTTTACAATGCTGATTTGTAGAAAGAACAAATGTTTAAAGTGACGAATCTAAATGGAATACTTATTATTATCATTATGAGTTATTCATAAGGAGAAATTAAAGTGACGGTTCGTTCGTAAAAGAGGAGTTAAAATTCGGGTATTAAATTCAAGGAAGAATTGAAATGACAGAATCATGAATCATTGGCAAAAAGAAGGATTTCATCACAGGTACTATGATATTTAAACGAATACGACAGTTCTCTTTTATGCTTATCTACGCTCGAGTAGATGTGTACGATGGAATTTCAACGAGAAATTAATCCTTCCGGTGAAAATCGGTTAGGTGAACTTTAGATTAGCGTTTATCGATACGGTGGATCGAAAAATCGACAGGCGAAAAATTCATTCCCCCGTCGAGATAGGTTTAACGTTTGGAAATGTAAGATGGATCAGTGTACCGATACCGATAACAACGATAACCCTCCGATTCGTTTCTTTCTTTCTTTTGTTTCTTTCGTAACGTTCTTCCGGGAAGAAGAATCTTTTTAAAAAATTTATCAGCTTTCTGCATCGTAGATCAGTCTGATATGATAAATTGTTTCGTTAGAACGTTTCGATTGAATTTTGCACAAACAAAAATCGCGGTCGACGGATTCAAATCTGACAAGAATTTCTTTAACCTTGCGTACGAAAGGATATGTGAACGGTCCGTGTCGGAAGCGAGCGGTATTTTAATGAAAAATTAAAAAAAAAAAACGTTTTAGAGCGACTCCAAGACAGTGACGGCGGACCTTTTGAGCTTGGTGTGTCGAAATTGGGAAACAACCTTAACTCGGGTGCCGTGTCACATCTAGAAATATCCATAACGTTTTAGCGCGACTCCAAGACAGTGACGGCGAACCTTTTGAGCTCGGTGTGTCGAAATTGGGAAACAACCTTAACTCGGGTGCCGTGTCACATCTAGAAATATCCATAATTGTTGCGAGCGTTACGACCTTGTATGATCACAGACTCTGCTATGGTTCGGCTCCGAATTAACGATTCTGAACCTCGTTGATAGAAGATAGACACCGTTGTTTTTCGTTGTTGTTCGTGTGACGATTATCTGCGATCTGCTCGGTTCCGGTGACTTAAGTCGATGCGTGTCACCCAAAACGTCTTGACACGCGTGTCATAGGTTCGCCGTCGCTGCTCTAAGGCGATCACGTTCTTTCGTCAGATTTAGCAGTACGTTTAAAATATTATTCGCTTAAATTTCGATATGAAATTCGCACGGGATGACATAATAGATCCGTGAAGAATCGGTGGACGTAACAAGAAGGACGTAACTAAGCTTCCCGTGTAATAGGCAATCCGTTTAGCGCGAAAGACGATTTTCACGCCAACGAAGAACGATGCTTCTCTCTTCTAGGACAAGGCCACGCAATGTACTATTTCTCTCGAGTCCTTCTGTTCATTGATACGAATTGATCGGTTAATTGAACGTGCAGCAAATACCTCTACATATTCACCACTTGTCGATCTTCTTTTATTTCTTCGTTTTTTCATTTCAAGACAGTTACAAACAGAAAGAACTTAATTTCCGTTACAATGAAATTGGAAACGAGGTTTTCAATTTTCGAAATTTCAAATTTCAAAAGAATGTCCTGTACGATGCGAATTTTAATAAATAGTACGATGGAGTAGTTTTGAAGAAATTTTCTGGCACGTTGAAGTATTTCGAAAGAGAAACAACGTTTCGAAGCAGATAGTTTCCTTCGTTTTAGAAGATGATCCGTAACAATTTTAAGTGGTTGAACCAATCTGATCGTTTTTCAAGAGGAAGTTAATAGCATCGGTTTGAAGTGTAATTGAGATCGGTGCCGTAACAACGACAGGTGGTCAACGATTCTTGGATATCGATCGCTGATAAAAGGGGAATCCTGATGTCACAATTAGTTGAACACCAGTAGAACGAACTGGGAGTAAGAAATGAAAACGACGATTCTCCGTAGAGATTAGATACGGTAGAAATGGACTTTAAATCAAATTCGTGAAAACAACGAGAAATATACAAAATACCAATTTATTTATACGTTTACTTCTCACAAAAATTGAAATGTCACATTTGTGTGTAATAGACAGAGAGTAAGTTCGAGTAGAAATGAAATTAAAATAAGGAATCGAGTGATGTGTTTAATTTAAAAATTGTGCTCCGTCGTTCTTTTACAGATATTTGGACCAGAACCGTTTGAACATCCTGCAAGATGGGCACGACAAGTGCAGACACGTACATTAATGGAAACTCCATCGAAGCATTCTTCGCGGAGACGGTGATCTTGATAACCGGGGCGACCGGTTTCCTGGGGAAAGCTCTTCTGGAAAAGCTGTTGCGCTCGTGCCCCCACGTGGCCACCATTTTTATACTGATCCGTCCCAAACAGGGTCAGACGATCGAGCAACGATTTAAGAAACTCCTAGAGAATTCCGTTCGTAAATAATACCTTTCTTAATTTACATTACAAATTGAACAGTTAGATACTAAGTGTGCAACGAAGTTTTCCTGTTTGCTTCTCGTTTCGTGGAATACAGAAGTGAAAACGTGCAATTATACACTGTTTAAGCGGATTTTCCAGACACCGGAAGGTGCCGTACAGAAGGTGTTAACGAGTCTAGAAAATCTGTCGTTTAACGTTTAACTCGTGTTCAGTAGTTTACAACGGGCACTATTAGAACGTAGTTTAAAATACTCAAAATGGGGAAGGAGCAATTTTTTCTTCTGTTAAAAATCGGCATACATTTTGCGCGAATCGAATCTATAAATTCGTTACGTCTGTATCATTTTCCAAGGAAGAAGTCAGGGATTTCATTTGCTTTGTAATTCTTATTCGAACAGATATCACTTTTCTCCTAATTCGCCACATTTCTTACTGTTCTACGAACAGTATTTTTATACGAATAATACTAATCAGTGCGACACTACTTTTCGCTGTAGAAACTTAACGAAACGAAGAGGGAATTGAATTCTCGAACGTTGCCTTTATCGTTCGAGCAAATTGTAACAGATTATCTTCCAATTGTACGTCCGCTTAGAGAACGTTTCGCTGAAATCGATAGCCGTAACCTCCGTAAGGCTTCCCTCGTTAACAGAAAGAACTTGAAGGCATTAAAGGCACGTGATCCGTGAGAATGTTTGCGACGAATCGAGCGATCGGAATCTAATTGGAAGAAATTAAAAGGAAACGTTTCGAGAAACTCAGATGTCGCGAAGATTTATTAGTAAAAGCGAATAATCGCGCGCTATCGATTACGTATAGCGTGTAAGTTACCGCGGCTATGGATATGAAAGTTTGAACGTAACAATGCTGCATACTTCTGTACACGCGAGTTATGCTAGCGGACGAATCGCGACACGCTGTTGGATAATCATTTTCTCGGAAGTATTAATACGAACGCGGATATTTTCAGTACAGAGATCACCGAGTGTACAGTACCGAGCGTATTTTCAGAACCCCGATCATTCTGTAAACTTGTGATTGACGTGAGAATACCAGCCGTACGAAATATTGTTGAAATAAATTAAACGACAGATCTTGTTGACGCGTGGTTGCAAAGAACGTTGGGAAAAACGGTCAGATTAACTGAGATCGAAAGGAATAGACGTTTGGAAAATCGAGAGGGTCGAGGATGCTGAATTTTGACAAAACGAGCATCGAAGTGTTAACATTTCCTCGCAAAGTTTCACATTTTTTTCTTAAATCTTCGTTACCTCGGAAATGAAATATTTCTCTGTCGAAGACGTTAAACAAAACGAAATTGGAGATACTTTTCGATGATTATTCAGAGAGTTTCTGTTGCTACTTTTTCAGGTGTTCGACGGAGTTAAAGCAACGAGTCCCACCGCCTTCGACAAGGTGCATCCTGTGAAAGGCGACGTGTCTCTGCCGAATTTAGGCTTATCGCCAGAGGATAGAAACATGTTAACGCAGAGGGTGAACATAGTGTTTCATAGCGCTGCCACAGTGAAGTTCAACGAACCGCTGAAAGTGGCAGTGAATTTGAACACAAGGGGCACCGATCGAGTCATAGATCTGTGCAAGAACATAAAGAATCTAATCAGTATCATCCACGTTAGCACAGCTTATAGCAACGCGAATCGACAGGACATTCACGAAGCGATTTACACGTGAGCGAGAATCCGTTGAAATTACTCTTGAACCTCGTTCGTGAATTTGAATTAGCTCGGTAGATTGTAAGACTCGCCTTTGAATCTTGGGTCGAGACTGTTTAGAACCCTCGATCTCGATCCTTTCTTACGATAAATTGAAGGAACCAGGAAGAGAATTGAACCGTGAACGAAACTACGAACGTGTCAACGATGATTTCGAAATTAGACGAATTATTTTCGTACTTGTTTTGGACGCTAGCTGTACATTTAAGAAATTGTAATAAATATCGATGATTAACCCTTCGGAGGTACCGAGTCTCTTTGTTCATTTTAAAACGTAGAGTTGCAGGAGTCCTCGAAAGGATTAGGAAATGTACTAGGTTGAAGTTTCTTTTCAGTTTAATTTCTCTTTCTCGTTCGGATCGAATTAACGAGTAGCATCCTTGACTCGCGTACAATGACTATAGAGGGACAAGAGTGTACATTTATTATTAATGATATCGCAGCACAAAGGTGAAGCCTTCCACGGTGATCGATATGTGCGAGAGTCTCGACGAGGAGACGCTCAACGTGCTCGAGAACAAGATTTTGGAGAATCACCCGAACACGTACACGTTCACCAAAAATCTCGCGGAGCAAATAGTGCTGACGAAAGCCAAGGACTTGCCAATAGCGATAGTGAGACCGAGTATAGTCTGCGCCGCGGTAAGGGATCCGTTTCCTGGTTGGGTGGACAATCTCTGTGGAATCACAGGTATTTCAAATAAATTGTCTCCGCTGTTACGAATATTTTTATTCTGCTTTTACGAGTTTTCGGAATGATAGAAATTCCTGTTTTTCGGATTTCTCCAATGTTGCTTTTATAGAAGAATAATGGTTCTTTTTCTGTGTTTTTTTCTTTTCTTTTTCATCGTTACAATCTTCAACTTTATTATTTCAGCTTAGAATTGAGCTTTGCATAGTTACTGTTCTCCCTTTTTACCTACCTTAGTCTCGTTAAAATAACGAATAATTTTGATCACCATGGTTATTCGAATAACGTCCAGGACACTGCAGTACAGGAATTATAATACTTGATTGTCACAGGTAGCATTACAGAAATCGGCAGAGGTGTCGTTCGAACGGTCCTGTGTGATTCGAATTTAAAGCTGGACTTGGTGCCTATCGATTACGTTGTAGACACGATAATATGCGCCACGTGGCACAGCACGATGCAACATAATAATACCATTAAAATTTACAACTGTACGAGTAACGCAAATCCTTTGAGGTAATGATAATCCTGTTAAAATTCGTATTTCTCTCAACTTTCTCTTAGAAACTTCGTACGAAAATACTTTATTTTTTGTAAGGAAAACTGGTTAACATCGAAACGAATATTTTCACTTTCTAGATGGGGCACGTTGAACGAGCTCATCAATAAATACGCCATAGCATCCCCGTCGACGTACGTGATGTGGTATCCAGGTTGCACGTTCAGAACCAACAAACTTATTCACAATTTCATGTCCGCCGCTTTGCATATATTCCCCGCATTCGTTGGCGATTTTGTCTTAAAGCTTGTAGGTAGTAAACCTCAGTAAGTGTTCCAAACAGGCTGTTTAAAGATGCCCATCTCTGTGTAGCAGTGCCGTCTAAGAACGTGTGATTTCAGAATGATGAAGTCCATCAAACGCGTTGAACGTATGATGGATACCGCGAGGTTCTTCACCACGCACGAATGGAACTTCCGCAGGAGTAACATGAACGACCTGACGAAAAAGGTGAAGGTGTTAAAAGACTGCGATAATTTCAACGTCGATATGCAACATTTGAAATGGGACACGTACGTGCAAGACTACATGTCCGGCATTAAGAAATACGTGTTGAACGAGAATCCAGAGGCTTCGAGTAACGCTCGAAGTCGATTGTTAATGTGAGTATCGCGATGTTTCTACGCGATGAAATAGAAATTGTAAGATAGTAGAGTATGGTGTGTGTAATTTGTAAAATTCTCGTTTGTTTCAGGTTTTATTGGGTACACCGGATAATTCAATTTTCGAGTATAATCGTGCTACTGTCGATGATAATGCGCGTCGGTCATTGACCACGAAATTCGGCGTTATTCCTTCGACTTGTGTTTGAAACGAATATAAAATAGGTAAAATTGTACGGCAAAAGGGGATCATCGTCCATTTTATTCTGATAATATTCCCGTCTCGTTTCGTATTGACGAGACATCGATTAACTGAATACGTTGCCGTAACTTGTCCATTGATACTCTAGATAATACGTATTAATAGAACGCATCATCTGCACTCGAGTTATTTCAACTCCTAATGCATAATACGCGAGATATCGACGCCTTACTTGCAACGTTACACCGCAGGGATAAATTAACTTTCTAATAACGGGAATATTCAGCTACCAGGATCATGCGAGAAGATATTTTCTAACAAACTAAGAGGGAAACGTATCGATATTCTACAGAGTGTAATATTTTTTCAACGACAATGTAATAGTTCCTAACAGTGGTTAAATGCGACATTGCCTGTATTGTTGACGCATACTCTTTGTAGAGGTTAACTAGTTTTTACGCGTTCCTCACACGCCAATTTCATTTTGTGGCGAGGTGATTGAACAAAACCATTCGAGAGAGAAATTTCTTTTGGTCTAATTTTAAAAAAAAACACGAGGTATTGCTTGAATCTATTTGCTTCGTTTACAAAAATGTTCCGTGAAATATTCGAAAACTACTGCTATTGTTCAGTATTTGTAGCGGTGGTAAGGTGAATAGTGCCGTATGCGAGTCGGGATGAGTTAAAAAATGAGAAAAACCAAAAAAATAAACTGTTTTAAACGGTTACTTTGGGACCATGGTTACTTTAAAATTTCACGCTTTAACAGATTCCTAATGAGAGTACGTACTTTCATAAAGAAAGAAGCATATTCAGCGGGCACGGTTTCAAGATTGTGAACAGCTCGTATGGAACGATTTCTTTATTCGATAAACGAGAAATAACGTTTCAGAAGAAATGTAATTATGCGGAAAATAATAGCAACATTTATAATTGATATTTTGTATATTAAATCTGTACACTGGACGGAAATATTTTTCCATCTAGTAATAAAGGCGATTTAATTTTGAGCTTGTTTTGTCTCTCAGAAGAAAACACCAAAAAATCGTAACTCGACAATAACGATAATTTTACGGTAAAAAATGTATTTGGTGGCAAATAACGATGGTGAGAAATAAATGTATTTTAAAATAAAATCGGTAGAAGTTCTATATTTTCACTTTAGATTCTAAATTGCACTTTTCCAAAATTTCTACTATTTATTTTGTTAAAAGTTACAATAATCGAGAATTTTTTAAAGCAACGCGCGCTTTCAGTACTGCCTTACGGCGCAACTACACTCCACTTTTCAACTTTAACCCTTCTATTACTGTTTGTGCACCGGCATTAGTAAGTTTTTACCGGTCGAAAACAGCCGGACGTGTAAACAGTGGTGTATGGATTCGTACAGCCACTGTAGCGATGCTAATCGCATGTAGAATCTTTATCAATATAATGAGCACATGGAAATTATTACAGCGTCGATGTTACGATCTACTTTCATATAAATATTCATTACTGGTGATATTAATAGCCTTCACTTGCATATTTATCGGTATCATACACTTTGGAGAGGTTAGAAAACGTATTATTACCTCTATTGTTTCTCTATCGAACCTATTTTGTTGATTGTTGTAAATTTACGTTCTATTGTTCATCGTGAAATATAAGTTGTTAAGCGATTGATTTTCAAGGAATATCTTCGAAACTGATAGTACTTAATATACTTCACATTCAAAATAAATTGCTATTTTGATCAGAACTCCTTTAATTAAACGAAAGATTTGTATTAAGATGCAAATTTTAAATTTGAATTTTGAATTTTTAAATTTCGAATTTAAAAATGCAATGTTTCAGATATGGATAACTTGGAGTAAAGAAAAATATGAAGCAGTGTTTCATTCTTTCAATGATAATATATTAGGTGTCTCTTTCCAAAAAAAACTATGTCAACATGTTCCAATAGATGTTGTCTATACATGGGTCAATGGCTCAGATCCAGCTTTTTTAAAGGATCTTGAAGAACATGTTCCTATTATGGATGTTAACACAGCTGCTTCCAGATTTAGCGATAAAGATGAATTAAGATATTCATTACGTTCATTGGAAATGTATGCCCCATGGGTTAGACATGTGTATATTGTTACAAATGGTCAAATACCAAGTTGGTTAGACATGGATAACCCTAGAGTTACTCTTGTTACTCATGAAGATATATTTTTAAATAAAAGTGATCTTCCAACATTTTCTAGTCCTGCTATTGAAAATCATATTCACAGGTAACATCAAATTTCTCTGTTTCATAACAGTTAATAACTGTATGCAATCTATTTGACATGTTAATTTTTACTTCTGCAGAATTCCTGGAATTTCAGATAAATTTTTATACTTTAATGATGATGTAATGTTAGGAGCTGAAGTATGGCCAGAAGATTTCATTACCCAAGCAGGTGGTCAAAAAGTGTATCTTGCATGGTGGGTTCCTGATTGTTCAGATGTTTGTCCTTGGGCCTGGGTGGGTGATGGATCATGTGATCCTGCTTGTAATACAACATTATGTGAATTTGATGGTAGCATTCATTGTTTACATTTGTTTTCAAATAATAATTACATTAATAATTTAATACTTGAACAGTATTACATGTATGCTTAATCTGTGTACATAATATATTTTATAGGAGGAGATTGTGATAGTACACCAGTTCCTACTGACAGTGAAGCATTGGAAGATGAAGTGGATTACCCACACAACTTTTTACAAGATCCTCATGAAGATACTAACTATGGATTGAAATTCTTACACATATTAAGAAACAAGAGTATAAGTACTATGTGGAGTGATGGAGAAACGTTTACCCAACAGACATGGCCAAATGAAACAACAGACTCAAAGCTCAATGTAAATAAATCTCGTAATGTCAAAAATAAGCACATAAACGCCATTGAGAAATATTTTAATGAACAATCAAGCGACGAGAACGATCAAGTTATATCTACCCAGAAGTCTGTGTTATTCAAAATGATGAGTAAAATGAGAATTCAGAATTCGAATATCACTGAAAGGCGCATGCAACTGAAACGTTATTTAAATGACAATATCATAAGCTTACCGCTAATTAATAGTACCATCAAAATTAACAATAAACCCAGTCATATTGATCAGTGGAAACTCAGAACAAGACAACTCGATACATACGCTGAGTCTTTGTTATATGTGAATAGAATATACAATAAAGCGTACGGATTTGAACGAAGAAGAGTACCCGCTCATATGCCTCATTTAATAGATAAATGGATTACTGCCGATATGCAGAAGAAGTTCGAGTCTGAATTCAAAAAAACATCTAGTCATAAAGTTAGAAACTCGGAGGATATGCAATTTGCTTTTTCTTATTTCTATTTTCTAACAAGCGAAAAGCGAATAGTGCCAATAGAAGAAATATTCGACACGTTTGATACGGATAAATCAAGGTATGATATTTGATAAAATATTATTAAAAGTATAAATTTTGTTATACATCGTTTTCAGGACTTGGTCAGATAGAGAAATTAGGACGCTTTTATCTAGACTCTATCCACTACCTCTTGATTACAGCCTAGTCGTTGAATTTGAAAACGCGATAACAAATTGTTCAAACCACGTAAAACTTGCTGAAGTACTAAATGCACCACCGGGAGAAAGATATCTAGATTCATCTCTTGTAAGCAAATCTTGTTAAGAGTAATATTTAAACATGACCGAAAAAATTTGTACTTGCATTAAATACGTTTGTTTTATAGCCAATTGTGTCTAAGGAATTGATAGCCAAATGTGAATCAGTATCTAGAAATATTGCGTCTAAGTTCGGCGAAGAAAAACTTTATCCACACGAAATAATTAAAGCTGGGAAAAGTGAAATATTTGAAATGTTAACTAGCAATGTGTCTCTAACAGTACAACTTTTAGATGAGATACGCAGAGATCCAAAGTAAGTAATTATAATGATTATCGTTAATAATAAATTTAAAACAGGTACACGAATTAAACGAAATTACTTTGATAAATTTTAGAAAGTTCATTTGTTTAAATGACGATATGAATCCTCTTCGACGTTCCGAAAATGAAATAGTCCGAGCATTATTGAACGACTTTTATCGCTCTCTTTATCCATTGCGTAGTACTTTCGAGTTGCCTCTGCAATATCGAAATCTTTTCACTCATCGACACGAGCTCTTTGAGTGGAGAGCCAATCGAGCAAAAGCCAGGAATTTGTTGTTATGTCTTATCCTTCTATTGCTTGTTACGACTTTTTATCACTTGTTTTACCATCAAATGCGACGATTGTTCAGAATGAGAGCACTGCCCACTCTGCTCGTTTAAATATAACAATAAAATACAAATGAAAAAATAAGATAACTGATCTAAAAGATATGGATATCTTCCACGATAAAAGAGAGCAGTGTCTTCTGAAGGGTTTATTATTAAATAGGATTAGGTATATATAAGGACTTTATACAGATCATTTCTTTACAAATTTATACTATTTTAACAGATGATTAATATCCTCTGTTACATGGTTTACATCTGCAAATCCATCCACAATTTAGAACTAGTGTTTGAAAGAACGATATACAAATCGCTATGGTCATTTTATAACGTTTGTTTAAAAAGTACGACTCGTTGTAAGGAATCGTTACTTTATAAGATATAAAGAGGCACGATCATATAAATATTTAGTGTAGTGTTTTAAAATTAAGTAAAACGTTCCTGTGATATTGACGAAGTACTGATTGTCTTTGTTTCTCTATCTTTCTCTCTCTCTCTCTCTCTCTCTCTCTCTTGATAAAATAGAAGCGTAGATGTGACAAATTTTTCTACAAGGCGCGTATGTAATTAAATATACTTACTTTAAATTCTTAATAAGCAAAGTGACTGAGTACTATTACACTGACATCTAGAAGGTTACATAGAATTTTTAAAAAGGTATATTAGTCTACTTTACCTTGATGTTTCTCTTCTGATGCGTGATGCAATTATCCGCCAGAAAATTGCCGGATTATTGATCGTTAAAGACTTATGGTATACCAAATTTGTACTTAATTGTTAAAGTACTAAAGATATAATCGACAGGGAATGTCAGTACACTGAATAATATTTTAATTTCAAAGTATGTATTTATTTTATTTTTAAACAAATCATGTAAATAACTTCGTTCGAATAAAGCTGTACGTTATTTCTTACTCGTGTAGCATTACTTATACCAATCCTCAAGAAAAACGGAAAATTATAACGGAATAATTCGAAGTATAAATTAACAATAAATGTACCAAGAAATTATTTCCTACTTTATTATACTCTTGTTAATTTGGTGTCATTTTTACAATTTTACTAAAATTTTCATCATCTTATTTACGGAATTCGCTAAAAAAGTGTGTATTACTAATACTACTCCTTATTCTTATTTATAGCTAATCTATTGAACACTTTTATCAAATGAAATATTGATGATCGTTCAACGGTGCTGCGGCAATAGTAATGGTTTGAAATTCATGGGGTAGAAACTTGTTGCGCTTTGCTATGAATCTGATAGCTGTTGTCTATCTATAGGAGGACAGTTCATGTGGCGAAGATTTCGCGGACCAACCATGCCTTCTTGTACTCTTGCGCACTCGCTCAACCATATGGCCACGCTGGCTACTTCTTCAGCCGAGAGACGAGGTCCAATACCTGATATTACATTATAACAGACACTTTTTTATTTTATATACGTTACTACGAAATAACGTTGCAAAGAATCTCGAGTAATAATTATAACTCGATTTGCGAAACAATTAGCAATTCTTTATTGTCTCACCAGGGACATTCGGATAGTACTTGAGCAATTTGGGATCTATAACCTTCTTCTTCCTTCTTCTCTCGCTTAAAACCTTATCCTCTGTACTTCGAACGATCTGCTTGTTACTGGAACTATCTGCAGAACCATTTCCATCCTCACTCGATCTTTTCTCATCGATACGTTCAGATTTTTTGCTACACTCTACATCGGCAACCGAAGTATCCTTGTTATCCTTTATTTTCAATGTTCCCTCGCTAGAAGAATCCTGCTTTACTTTATCTTCGACCATTTTTTTCTGACAAGAAAAACTTTCACTTAATTGAGGCGTTATATCGGCTGTAAAAATATGTTTATGCTAAATAATGCAAAAAAAAAAATAAGTTGAAGATATAGCTTTTGCGTGGATTTACTTCTCGAAGATTCGGTGTCTCCTTTCGATACTAATTCCAGGTCTAAATTCACGTCAGCTTCAGTGTCTTGGCTTGCTACCGAACAAACACGATCCACAGAAGACTTTTCCTCGTTGATTTCTTGATGTATGAAAGGTTCTGGCTCGTATACGATGAATTCTGTCGGATCCTCGTCCGTAGGATCTCTTTCACTTCCGTCACAACGAAGTCCTGCCAAATATCTGAAGATAAATATAAAATAATTTCCCTTGAAAGGCTCGTTTCTTTTTTATTTTGTCAAAATAAATATTTAATATTTGAATTTTTGCGTATACCCATATATCTCCATGAAAAATGTGACAGGAACCATAGCAGAACCGCCTTCAGGTTCGTGAGTAAATAACTCGCAGATTAGGATCATCGTTTCAAAAAGGCTGGAGCTTAGAAGCCCGACAGCGATGGCCAGAAATTTTTTCACTTGACATTTTCGTCGAAACTTCCCGATCATTAGAATAAGATTAAAGTCTCGACGATCCAAACACAAGCAGTCCCATCGACGAAGAATTGTTTCCACTGGTAACGATTTGTTGTAATCTATAATATAATAATATCAGATATATATCATATCACATACTTACACGTCTGGGAATATATTCCATTGAAATCTGATTTTCTCACCAAAAATGTTTAAATAGAAATATTTATTTATGTGAGAAATGTAAAATTCTTACTTTTTCGTAATAACAATAATAATACTTGAGTTATTTTATTAAAATTTTTAATGCGGGGTAGAAACTGTACAGGACCAATGTTTTCAGTTAAACAAAGAAATGGACAATCGATAATAATTAATATATTGTATATTTAAAATACTAGGAAAATGTTAGTAGAAAATTGTTATCGGTACCTCCGAATTGTCGGAGTAAAATCCTGAGGAAACCAAGAGTTAAACCGGAAGCTGTACTTGGCGGTGGATATTCCAGTCTCAGTTTTATCGGTGGTTCTTCTCCATCAGCCAGCGCTCGAAAATACGAACTGGACCATTTAAGTAGATCGTACGGTTGTGTTCGAATAGCCGCCTTACAAAATTCCTTTAATATTAACGGTAAATTCGGTGGCACGATAATTTCCTGTCCAGAAACTGATCGTTCTGCAATAGACATTTTTCAAGCTTCACCAAAAAGCAAAACTTCTTCGTGCTTCGAAACAAATCGAAAGTTTTTACGAAATAGTACTACGTGGTACGAAGTGAAACCGAGATTAACTTGAGTACCGTAGTACGCCACGTCAAGTGTACTGTTTGTTGCCATTTCACAGGATTCCGTCGTCTAGGAAACAGTATCGATCAATTTTCTGCTAAGAAAAATGTTTCTTATTCTTGCATATTTGCATTTTAAGTTTTAACGAGTAATCGGTAATCCAAACTAGTCTTTTCATCGTTGTTATCATTGTTATCAAGCACAGACGAGATAAAGAATGGATATTATCTTATGGGACTTTATGTCTCATGTCCTGAAATACCGATCGTGTAAAAAATCAGAGGTTTTGTTATGCCCTCTATGATAATAGAGCGATGAGTTTAGAAATGATGTACAAACCAATCATCAAAGACGGTAATGTCGACAGATGTACATACATACAAGATCTTCCTTTGTTAAATCCGCATGTAAAGATATTTATATAAATAGTCTAGGGTGCCCGCGATCGATTTCCGGCTTCTCACGGGGGTAAATCGAATGGACGTGGAAACTGATGTGCTCGTAAATTGCTTTAAGATATTGTACGAGAGGTAGGTAAGAATTATGAACGGTACTGTTTAAAAACATTTCGATATTATTATTTCTGTGTGTCGTTTTTGCTGGAATCGGTGGGGGGGTTCTAGGGATTCGATGGGTAACTTTATTTGAGAGAAGAGAACACACTTTGGGAGATTTCAATGTAAGTATATTTCATTTCGAATGGGATGAAATTTCTACTTAGTACAAAACTTATTTTAATAAGGAACACGGTTAATGCATGTATTTTCCGTACAGTAGCTTTCGTACAAGCTGAATTATCCATAGATGAATAAGTTGAAAATGTGGCTTAGCACATTTTTAGTTGAACACAAGCGTTCAAGTAAATGCTTGTGGCAATGTTTTGCGTACAAAGTACTGCATACAACAATGTTTTGCATGTCGTACAGCGTTACAAACGAAAATACGTACATTTCAAAAATAACGCGTTTCACAAAGTTGCAAACGCGTTCTCTCTTTTGCAACTTTGTTGCCGCGAGTCGCTCGCGAAAATTGCACATTGTTGCAAACGCGTTCTGGGTTTGCAACTTTGTTGTCGCGAAAACTTGAACATTGTTGCACGACGCCCCGTTTTGCAACATTGTGAATTTTTCGGGAGCGACTCTCGGCAACAAAGTTGCAGGCGCGATACCGCGTTTTGCAACAATGTGCGTTTTTCGAAAACGATTCGCGGCAACGATGTTGCTAACTCGATAACACGTTTGCCGCAATTTTCGGGAGCGATTTTCGGCAACAAAGTTGCAAGCGCCATCTCCCTTTTGCAACTTTGTTGCTGCGAGTCGCTCCCGAAAATTGCACATTGTTGCAAACGCGTTCTGGGT